ATTTCTGCACATTGATTTTGTATCTGAAGACTTTGCTGAAGTTGCTTATCACCTTAAGGAGATTTTGGGCTGAGACGATGGAGTCTTCTAAATATACAATCATGTCATTTGCAAATAGAGACAATTTGACTTCCTCCTTTCCTAATTGAATACCATTTCTTTCTTTTTCTTGCCTGATTGCTCTGGCTAGAACTTCCAATACTATACTAAATAGGAATGGTGAGAGAGGACATCCTTGTGTAGTGCCAGTTTTCAAAGGGAATGTTTCCAGCTTTTGCCCATTTAGTATGATATTGGCTGTGGGCTTGTCATAAATAGCTTTTATGATTTTGAGATACATTCCATCAATACACAGTTTATTGAGAATTTTTAGTATAAAGGGCTGTTGAATTTTCTTGAAGGCCTTCTCTGCATCTGTTGAGATGATCATGTGGTTTTTTTCTTTGGTTTTGTTTATGTGGTAAATTACGTTTATAGACTTGCGTATGTTGAACCAGCCTTTCATTCCCAGGATGAAGCCTACTTGATTATGATGGATAAGCTTTTTGATGTGCTGTTGCATTCGTTTTGCTGGTATTTTTTGAAGATTTTTGCATCTATGTTCTTCATGGATATTGGCCTGAAGTTTTCTTTTTGGCTGAGCTTCTTCCAGGTTTTGGCATCAGGATGATGTTGATCTCATAAAAACAGTTAGGGAAGATTCCCTCTTTTTGTATTGTTTGGAATAGTTTCAGAAGGAATGGTACCAGCTCCTCTTTGTATGTCTGGTAGAATTTGGCTGTAAACCCATCTGGGCCGGTCCTTTTTTTGGCTGGTAGCCTATTAATTGCGGCCTCAACTTCAGATCTTGTTATTGGTCTATTCAGTGATTTGACTTCTTCCTGGTTTAGTTTTGGAGGGTGTAAGTGTCCAGAGATTTATTCATTTCTTCTGGATTTGCTGGGTTATGTGCATAGAGTTGTTTGTGGTAATCTCTGATGGTGGGTTGTATTTCTGTGTCTTTGGTGGTGATGTCCCTTTTATCATTTTCTATTGCATCTATTCAATTTTTGTCTCTTCTTTTTTATTAGTCTAGCTAACGTTCTGTTTTGTTGATTTTTTTTTTTTTTCAAAGAACCAGCTCCTGGTTTTATTGATTTTTTTGAAGTGTTTTTTGTTTCTATCTCCTTCAGTTCTGCTCTCATCTTAGTTATTTCTTGTCACTGCTGGCTTTTGAATGTTTTTGATCTTGCTCCTCTAGCTCTTTCTTTTGACGATAGGGTGTCAAAATTGAAAGAGCTAGAGGATCTTGCTCTTTAGTTCTTGCCTCGTTTCTCCTGTGGGTATTTATTGCTATAAATTTCCCTCTAGACGCTGCTTTAAATATGTCCCAGAGGTTCTGGTACATCATGTCTTCATTCTCATTGGTTTTGAAAAACATTTTTATTTCTGCCTTCATTTCTTTGTCTATCCAGTTGCCATTTAGGAGCAAGTTGTTCAGTTTCCTTGTAGTTGAGCGGTTTTGGGTGAGTTTCTTAATCCTGAGTTCTAATTTGATTGCACTGTGGTCTGATAGACTGTTCGTTATGCTTTCTGTTCTTTTGTATTTGCTGGGGAGTGATTTACGTCCAATTATGTGGTTAATTTTAGAGTAAGTGCGATGTGGTGCTGAGAAGAATGTATATTCTTATGGATTTGGGGTGGAGTGTTCTGTAGATGTCTGTTAGGTACGCTTGGTCCAGATCTGTGTTCAAGTCCTGGATGTCCTTGTTAATTTTCTGTCTCATTGAACTGTCTAACATTGACTGTGGAGTGTTGAAGTCTCCCACTATTATTGTGTGGGAGTCTAAATCTCCATTTAGGATGTTAAGAACTTGCTTAATGTATCTGGGTGCTCCTGTGTTGGGTGCATATATATTTAAGAGCGTTGGCTCTTCTTGTTGGATTTTTCCTTTTACCATTAGGTAATGCCCTTCTTTGTCTCTTTAGATCTTTGTTGGTTTGAATTTTTTTTTTTTTTGAGACGGAGTTTCGCTCTTATTACCCAGGCTGGAGTGCAATGGTGCGATCTCGGCTCACCGCAACCTCCGCCTCCTGGGTTCAAGCAATTCTCCTGCCTCAGCCTCCTGACTAGCTGGGATTACAGGCAAGCGCCACCATGCCCAGCTACTTTTTTGTGTTTTTAGTAGAGACGGGGTTTCACCATGTTGACCAGGATGGTCTCGATCTCTCGACCTCGTGATCCACCCGCCTCGGCCTCCCAAAGTGCTGGGATTACAGGCTTCAGCCACCGCGCCCGGCCCCGGTTTGAAGTTTTTTAAATCAGAGACTGGGATTGCAACTCATGCTTTTTCTTGTTCTTCATTTGCCTGGTAAATCTTCTTCCATCCCTTTATTTTGAGTCTATGTGTGTCTTTGCATGTGAGATGGGTTTCCTGAATATAGCACACAAATGAGTCTTGAATTTTTATACAGTTTGTCAGTAAGTGTCTTTTGATTGGGGCATTTAGGCCATTTACATTCAACATTAATATTGTTATCTGTGAATTTGATCCTACCATTTTGTTACTGGCTGGTTTTTTTTGCCTGTTAGTTGACTAGGTTTCTTCATTGCGTCATTGGTCTTTGCCATTTGGTATGTTTTTGCAGTGGTCGGTACTGGTTGTGCCTTTCCATGTTTAATGTTTCCTTCAGGAGCTGTTGCAAGGCAGGTCTGGTCGTGACGAAATCTCTCAGTAATTGCTTGTTTGTAAAGGATGTTATTTCTCCTTCACTTACGAAGCTTAGTTTGGCTGGATATGAGATTCTGGGTTGAAAGTTCTTTTCTTTAAAGATGTTGAATATTGGCCCTCACGTTCTTCTGGCTTGTAGGGATTCTGCTGAGTGATCTGCTGTGAGTCTGATGGACTTTCTTGGTAGATGATCCAACCTTTCTCTCTGGTTGCCCTTAGCATTTTTTCCTTCACTTCAACCCTAGTGAATATGATGATTATGTGCCTTGAGGTTGCTCTTCTTGAGGAATATCTTTGTGGAGTTCTCTATATGTCTTGGATTTGAATGTTGGCCTGCCTTGCTAGGCTGGGGAAGTTCTCCTGGATAATATCCTGAAGAGTGTTTCCCAGCTTGGATTCATTCTCCCCGTCACATTCAGGTACACCGATCAAAAATGGATTAGGTCTTTTCACATAATCCCGTATTTCTTGGAGGCTTTGTTCATTTCTTTTCACTCTTTTTTCTTTAATCTTGCCTTCTTATTTTATTTCATTGAGTTGATCTTCAATCTCTGATATCCTTTCTTCTGCTCGATCGATTCGGCTAATGAAACTTGTGTTTGCTTCCCGTAGTTCTCATGCTGTGTTTTTTCAGCTCCATCAAGTCGTTTATATTCTTCTCTAAGCTGGTTATTCTACTTAGCATTTCGTCTAACCTTTTTTCAAGTTTTTAGTTTCTTTGCCCTGGGTTAGTACATGTTCCTTTAGTTCAGAGAAGTTTGTTATTACCCCCCTTCTGAAGCCTATCTTTGTCAATTTGTCAAACTTGTTCTTCATCATGTTTTGTTACCTTGTTGGTGAGGAGTTGTGATCCCTTGAAGGAGAAGAGGTGTTCTGGTTTTTGATGATTTCATCCTTTTTGCGCTGGTTTCTTTCCATATTAATGGATTTGTCTATCTTTGATCTCAGGGAGCTGTTTGATGAGGTGACTTGTCTGCCTGTGGAGGCACTGCTGGGTTGCCAGGGACTCCACCCAGTTGCTACTTAGGCTTCCTGTGTCTTTTTGTTTACACAGGGCGATTAGGCCCGCCTGTTTAATGGTGGATGCCCCTCCCTGTGATGACCTTGAGGCACTGCTGGGTTGTCAAGGACTCAGTCCAGTTGCTAGGTAGGGTTCCTGTGTTTTTGTTCACACAGGGGGATTAGGCCCGCCTCTTTTATGGCAGGTACCCTTCCCTCCACGGAGCGGGATCATTCATGGTTCAGCTCGGACTGAGGCACTGGCTGCAAAACCCTCAAGTGTTAGGGCTTCAGCCTTTTGGGGTTTGTGGGAGAGGGACCTGCCCAGCTGCCCTGTCTGTCTCCCCACTTTCAGCTCTCTCTCTATGGAGGGTGGGGGGTGGCGGTAGCTCTGGCCGCAGGCTCTCCTGCTGGCTTATGCATTTGCTTAGGTCTATGCGGAGCCCCCAATCCGTGGCACCAACCTGGATTATTATTCAACTCTGCGCTTGACTGCAAAGATCCGCTGTTCTGTGGACTGCTGAGGCTTTGGGGGAAGCACTATATCTGGACCAGGGTTCCAGGGGGGAGCCCCCAATTCTCCAGTCAGACACAGTTTCTGGGTGAAGCAGCACCCCTCCCTGCCCAGGTCTGTCCTCCCTGGACTGTGTTCACTGTCCGTCCCGTCCTGTTGAGATTTACATTTGAGTCTTAATGTTGATGGCTTTATTTAGGTGTAATATGAAGGAGGGAAGAAAAATTTTTTTTAAACTTTTTCTTTATATGGTTCCATATTATTTGATTTGTTACCAGAATTATTTAACAGATCTTTAAAATCTAATAAGATGAAGAAGAGGACAAAGATCACATTATGGCCTGAAGTTTCAGAAGTGTACAAATTCTCCTTTACACTACAGGATTCCTTTTCCAGAGCTTCTAAAGGAGATATTGGGGCAGTGGCATATAATAGCTAAAATAGTACATTAGGTTCTAGGTATGGGCCTTATATTCCAGTTTCTAGCTCTTGTAAACTTGATTAGGCCCCAAGTTCTTTACCTAGACCCAAACCTAAATGCGGAGGTGTGAATTACCACGTAGCGGATGTAACAGTACCGGAAACCAACTGGAGCTCCTGCACAAGGGAAGAGCAAGTCAAGGGAGCCAGACCTGGCTGTAGCATAGGCTTATAGGGGTGACAGAAAGGGCAAGACTCCGCTGGTGAAAAAGAAGCAAACAAAAAACCCACAAAACCCAAAACAACAATCGACAAGCAAAAAATCATGGACCACTGCACAGGCGCCTGCCTGGTCCCCATGGAGCTGCCGCAGCGGACCCAGCGCAGCCAGGCGCGTTCGGGATGAGCTCAGCTGCGCGGACCTCTGGGCGTGGTTGTTGGTGCTCAGTTTTGTGTTTGGGTGCAATGTTCTTAGGATCCTCCTCCCGTCCTTCTCATCCTTCATGTCCAGGGTGCTGCAGAAGGATGCGGAGCAGGAGTCACAGATGAGAGCAGAGATCCAGGACATGAAGCAGGAGCTCTCCACGGTCAACATGGTGGACGAGTTTGCCAGGTACGCCAGGCTGGAGAGAAAGATCAGCAAGATGACGGATAAGCTCAAAACCCATGTGAAAGCTCGGACAGCTCAATTAGCCAAGATAAAATGGGTGATAAGTGTGGCTTTCTACGTACTGCAGGCTGCCCTGATGATCTCACTCATTTGGAAGTACTATTCTGTTCCTGTGGCTGTCGTGCAGAGTAAATGGATAACCCCTCTAGACCGCCTGGTAGCTTTTCCTACTAGAGTAGCAGGTGGTGTTGGAATTACCTGTTGGATTTTAGTCTGTAACAAAGTTGGGGCTATTGTGCTTCATCCATTCAGCTGAACAGGAAGATGGACACAGCTATGAGGCTTTTAAAAATGGATTTTCTCTTATTAGGTTAAATATCTGATTTATACTTTTTTTTTTTTGAAACAAAAGTACACAGTTTAGTTTTTTTTTTTTGTTGAATATGTTTGTTCTTGGACTTTGAGAGATTCTTCTAAGAATCATGATTTTTTACACTTGTCATTAGGCCAAGAAAGTCCAGTTTATGACACGTGTATACCAGCGAACGCCATCCTAGATCTGTATGAAATGTGAAACGTTAAGGGGCATCTCCGGCCGCCGCTCGTGATCTGCACTCTCGTATATTTTGGTCATATTACCAGCCAGAAAGTCAAAATTTTCCAACAACTTAAGTTCTGTGAAGACTTAGATTTTTTAATCCAGTTTAGAAAGTAACTTAATTTTAATATCACTACTAAGAATTTGAGAATTTCTTCTTTAATCACATTCAATACAGCTAAAAGAACGACAGTAATTGCCATTGCTTGGGCTTTTTCTCCCTTTGTTTAAAATGTCCTTTGAGCAAGAGCTGTATAATAATATCTACTTACTTGAGGATATTAAGTTTTCATTACAGTGTTTTGTAAATGTATCCATGAGATCATAATGTATTGTTTTGTGCTCAAGTTGTATTTTGTATTTAAAGCATTTTGAATGAAATGTATTTGTTGGCCTTTACTATTTATGCTCTTTAGAATGGAACATAGGAAACAAACCTTATAAGGCCTGATTAAATTATTCTGAACCAATAAAAAAAAAAATCATGGACCAATCATGTTCTTGAAGCTGATCGATTCGATGAGCAATTCTTTGACACAAGTGGTAAACAAGATCAGATAAGGAAAATGAACTCTCTTGCTCTCTTTTCTGTGAATATTACCTGTCATAGCAGAAAAAATATAGACAACCGCTGCTTTAGATCGCCGTTTAGTACATGAGAATAAAAGACGAGGGACCAACAAATACAAAATTAGAGAAATCAGAGTGTAAAATACAAACAGTGCAATGCGGCTTCGTGAAAATGAAAGGGGAGTGTTTTAAAAGATGATAATAAACAGTGTCCATTGATAGATTCAAAGAGATCATTGAAGAGCAGCAAGACAAAAACAGCCTATGGATGAAAGGATTAGGAATTATTTTTTATGTTAGAAGAGCTTTAGTAATTCTGTGGGTAAGGAAGCAGATTGTGGGGAGGTTAAGGTGAGGGGTGGCTTCTGGGGAGTTAAAGTGGTAATGGCAGGTATAAAGTTCTTGTAGGAATATTTGGGAAGAGTAGGAAAGGGAGAAATGACCCAAGATGGGGGTAAACCTCTTTGTATGTCTACAGAGTAGGAAACACTGGAAGGATCTGATGAAGAGATAAAGATTTAAAATGGAAAAAACATAAGTCTCTTGGAGAAATATTCTGATGAACCACAGCTCTGTGGGAAAGGGTTAATGTTAGAGGGACCCCTTTCTCTGAAGTCTAAGAGAGAAGACGGCTGGAAATATTTGGAAGTACAAGGTAGAAAAGTTGGTACAAAATACTGAATTCAGTAAAGCAAGAACTGAGATTACCCATTAAAGCTTCAAAGCTGCTGGAAGCTTTAACAGACCAGAGATCTAAAATTAGTTCTAAGTAAAATAGATCGATGAATTAGGTGTGCTTGGCACAATCCTAACTGGACTATAGAAAACTCAAGGGAATTACTATTTCATGACTGTTGTGTTCCCACTGCCCAACACAATGTTTGGCACGTGGCTAGCGCTCAATAAATGTAAATGGATGGATGAATGGATGAATGAAGGAAGGAGCTGGTATATTTAATTGAATCAAACTATTGTCACCCCCTCCAGCCTCCAACGAGGGCCTGGGTCAAGTTAAATGTGGTCATTTAACTAAGTCCATAGTGGTCTGCAGTTTGTAAACAGGACTTAATAAAATAGATGATAACTTTTTTAAAGCCCAAAGTTGTGTGTGTTGGCTTTCTTAGGAAAAAGGGTAGCGGTAATATGTGCTCAATGAAAAGGGGGAGTTGTTAGATCTAGGACACATTGCTCGGCTGCTTGTAGCTCTGGAATATTTGTGGTTTCAGTAACTTTGAGATAGTTCAGATCTCCGTATTTAAACCTGAAGAAATGACTACCATGTTTGTTAGGAAGGCTTGGGAGATCGTGTTCGGGAATCGTGTGTTAGACGTGATAAGTGAACACCAAGATTGCAGATTTGAGGACGTGTGGGTTTACTTCAGTAACAGATTTTGATGAAAAAGAGGACAGGGACAGACACTGCTTGAAACCATAATATAAATCGGCTTATAGTCTTTTATTTTTCTATGAGAATAAAAAGGAAAGTAATGATGAAATTAATCTCATTTACTCATTTATTTAATAATTATATATTAAGCACCTGTATTATACAGAGAAAAATGTTAGTAAAATGTGACTTGTTTACTAGGAAACATTTTGACTATCCTTCATAAAAAATAGCATGACTCTTATATTGTTTTTATTTTATTCTTATTTTTATTTGTACAAATTTATGGCATACATGTGAAATTTTGTTACATGTATTATATAACACATAGTGATCAAATACGGGTACTTAGGGTGTCCATCAACCAAGTACAGTACTTTTTATTTGGTTTTATTTTGAAAGGATTTTACAAGTATGGCACATTTTTGTTAACTACAGTAACTCTACTCTGCTGCCAAACATTGAATTTATTCTTTTCATTGAACTATATGTTCGTACCCTTTAACCCTCTTCTCTTCATCCCCCCGTCTCACCCACACTTACCCTTCCCAGTCTCTGTTATCTATCGTTCCACTTTCTACTTCCATATGATCAAATATTTTAGATCCTACATATGAGTGAGAAGATGGGATGTTTGTCTTTCTGTGCTTGGCCTATTTCACTTGCCCGGGATGGTGGCTCACGCCTGTAGTCCCAGAGAGGCCAAGGTGGGAGGATCACTAGACCCCAGGAGTTTGAGACCAGTCTGGGCAACATGGAGAAATCCCATCTCTACAACAAATACAAAAGTTAGCTGGGTGTGGTAGTTCATGCCTGTAGTTCCAGCTACTGAAGAGGCTGAGGTGGTCGAATAACTTGGAGCTTGGGAGGTCAAAGCTACAGTGAGCTGAGATCAGGCCACTGCACTCCAGCCTGAGAGAGAGAGTGAGACCCTGTCTCAAAACAAACAAATACCACTTCTCCACCCCAGTTCTATTCACATTGCTGTAAATGAGAGGATTTTATTTTTTGATGTCTGAGTAGTATTCCATTGTGTTTATGTACACATTTTCTTCATTCATCTGTTGATGAACACTTAGATTGATTCCGTATCTTTGCTATTGTGAATAGCGCTGCAGTAAACATGTGAATGCAGTTATCCCCTTGATATATTGATTTTTCTTTGAGAAGATACTCATTAGTGGGATTGCTGGATCAAATGGTAGTTCCATTTTTAGTTTTTAAAGAAATCTCCATACTGTTTTCCATAGAAGCTGTACTAGTTTACATTTCTACCAGCGCTGTGTAAGAATGCTTTTTTCTCCACATCCTCACCAACATCCATTATTTTCTGCCTTTTCTGATTTGAGAAAGATGATATCTCTGTGGTTTTGATTTGCATTTCTCTGATGGTTAGTAATGTTGAAGATTTTTTTCAAATACCTGTTTGCCATTTGCGTGTCTTCTTTTGTTGAATTTCTAATGATTTCCTTTGCCCACTTTTTAATGGGATTGCTTTTCATTTGTTTGTTTTGATGTTGAGTTGTTTTGAGTTTCATGTATATTCTAGGTATTAGTCTCCTGTCAGATGAATAGTTTGCAAGTATCTTCTCCCATTCAACATGTATCTATTCACTCTGTTGATTATTTCTTAAACCAAAATTAAGCTTTTAATTGGGTCCTATTTGTCTATTTTTGGTTTTGTTGCCTGTGCATTTGAGGCCTTAGTTATAAATTCTTTGCCTAGACTAATGTCCAGAAGAGATTTTCCTAGGTTTTCTGCTAGTATTTTTATAGCTTCGGGTATTATCTTTAAGTCGGGTATTAAGTTAAGTAATCTAGTTTAAGTTGATTTTTGTATATGGTAAGAGATAAGGGTTCAGTATCATTCTTCAGTATGTGGCTCTCCAATTTTTGTAGCATCATTTATTGAAGAGAATGTTTCTTCTCCAGTGTAAGTTTGTGCCTGTTCCAAATTTATTTCCTAATGAAGGAAAGTTGAAACAATTCTGATACTAAAACACACATTTATCTTCTACTTACTAGCTGACATGAGGAATTTGTGCTTTCTTCCTTACTGCTGAAGACATGAGTAGGACCAAAGCGTTTTCCCCCATATTGCTTTTGGTTCTTAAAAATCATCGCAGTGGAAACCTTGACCCCTTGAACCATAGGCGCAGCAGGTGATCAGAAAAGGAACTAGATTTCAAAATATTTTGTTTTAAGATGTGTTTTGTTGTATTGAAGTCATCATACAACATCTGATACTGATTTTGAGATTCTTAATTCATTCTTTTTAAAGATTCAGATTAAAAAAACCTAAACACATTTCCACTCAGTTTTCCCATCCATTAACTCAATTCAAAACATCCTTATCCTGCAGTGTGCTGCTGTGTTTCGGCCCTTGATGAATTAAGAGTGCTCTTGGGTCTCTTGTGGGGTACATGCAGTACTGTCTTCCAGAAAAGAGAAAATGACACTGTATGATAGGTTTGACGTATACTCTACCTAACGGCAAAACTAGTCAACAATCAAACTGAATTTATATTGAATTTCCCTATATACTTATGCATGCCTCTTTCACAAAACATTGTTAAAAATAAATATCAGGGCTGGGTGTGGTAGCTCATGCCTATAATCCCTGCACTTTGGGAGGCTGAGGCAGATGGATCACTGGAGGTCAGGAGCTCAAGACAAGCCTGGTCAACATGGTGAAACCCTGTCTCTACTAAAAATACAAAAATTAGCCAGGCATGGTGGCACGTGCTTGTAATCCCAGCTACTCGGAAGACTGAGGCAGGAAAATCACTGGAATCCAGGAGGTGGAGGTTGCAGTGAGCGGAGATCATGCCATTGCTTTCCAGCCTGGGTGACAGAGAAAGAC